GTTTCAATTACCAATGGTTAACCGGTTATTTCAATTCAACCCAATTAACTGGTTATACGAACAAATAAACCACTCCATGCGCTATTGAGTAGATTTTTGTTAGCAAACACTTTCGCCCATGCAAATTAGAGCAATATAATCATCATCTAAAAGACAAACTATCAAAAAATTTGCTGGTTGTTCCGACCATTGAAATAGAAGAGGAACTTTGCATGGTTCAAAAATTTTCAAAAACCAAACTTTTCAGAGATTTAACCTTTCGTAAACTTTGTTGAGCTGCGTAAGAGGCTTCCTGTGATATAATTTTCGTATCAATTAACAAAGTAGTTTCAGCGTAATTTTTGATTAATTGAAAAAAGCCAAAATGACCCATTTTTGGGGTAAAATTTTAGTTGAGAATTTGGGAGAAAAAATAGCACCATTTTAATTCTGGTGAAATTTTAGGCAACTTTTGTAATCTTCACTTTTTGTCTAATTTTAATCCAATTTGAGAAAAACGCGTTTGAAAATTCAAGTTTTGTTCGTTTTGTCCGGATAATTTAAATCAGCACTGTATTTTGAGTCGCATTAGTCGCATTATTTTTTGTACATTAAAAACTAACAATCAGTTTGCCCAATTCAATTTGGAACAATTTAGTTCGCCGTATACGCTTTATTAGCACGGAATATAACCCGCGTTGTCAAAACCAATGTGGCACAAATGGCAACTTCCAAGCCCCATAATTTAACAAAAAACATCATAAATAAAATATCATTTTCGGAAATAAAACATCAATACCTATCAGATGATGAAACAAAAGGGCAAGAATTGCTTATAGTTTAGGCAGAATTAAAATAGTCTCGAAAATTACGCCTAATATACTTGATCGATTGCTGACAATTTTATATCAAAGTGAGCTTTTTATGCTCCAACAAATTTGATCAAATAAATAATCAAATAATCTTTTCAAAATTGTATGAGCTATTTTTTTTTTCGTTTGATAGCAAATAAATGTCAAGTTTATTAAAAAATTTATCAATTTTTATTTAAAAACAATTTTTTTAACATTCAATCAAATTTTGGAACTAACACTCTTTCCAAAAATTTTGAAGGACATAAATTGCTCAGTCTAATATAGATTTAAAAGCTATCAGTTAGGTGTTTTAGGCGTAATTTTTGATTTACTGAGGAAGCAAAAGTGATTTCTTTTTAGGGCAAAATTTTTTTTGGCTCTAGGTTCTGCAGAAAAAATAGCCCAATTAATATTTCTGTTTTTGAGCAATTTTTTTTAAAAAATTTTTGTTTAAAGTTAACTCAATTTTAGAAATACGCGTTTTAGGTTTCAAATTTTCCCCAATTTGTTTGGATAACTTAACTTAAACCATTAGTGTACAACGCTGATGTGAAAAAAAAACAGACAAAACGAAGACAATGTGAAATCTAAAACGCGTTTTTCATGAATTTGTTGTTCAATTCAAGTCTGTCAGCAACCGGTAGTTTGAGCTTTGTTTTTGATAGACTAAACAAAACCAAAACTGATCGATTCATGGGTAAAGTTTTGCTTAAATTGGTTCAAATTATAAGAAAGTTTTGTTTTTGTCATTTTTACCTAAAACCAACCCAGTTTGAGAAAAACGCGTTTAAAGTTTCAAGTTTTCGTTTTTTCCCAGATAATTTAAGCCAGCACTGGATTTTAAAAATTGATCACTGCTCATCCTCATATGAAACTTTTAGTTTTGATGTGAAATTATTCGATTTGAAGGGAGGAGAGGCTACCCGCACTGAGCACCCACGAATCATAACCGATTATATTTCCATAATTTGGTCAGTTTCTATGAACCTATATTTTAATCAATTTTTATCTATGAAAAAAAATTATAATCTTAAAATATTTTATGTCAAAATAATCCATTATATCAGTTATAATCCAATAAAAATGGATTATAACCCTAATTTTTTATACCAATATAGTCCATTAAGATCAATTATTAGCGACTATAATAGATTTTTTCGAGAGATTATTCAAGAAATTTACAACTTTTTTCAAAATTATCTAATTTCCTGTTTGCTACCAATTTGCTACGTTTTAGGTTTCATAAAATATTACTTTTCACATTAAAATTTATATATATATTTGTTATCTCTACGTTTTCAATTCATCTCAGTTTAACACTTCATTTCGCAGGGTGAGGGAGTATGGTTTGAACGGTGTTAGAGGGGGAGATTTTTTAATAGTAGAGTTTGCGGGTTCAATGGTTTATCCAACGGGTTCCTCCAGTTCCCCCCCTTCAGTTTACCCCCCCCCCCTCCCGTTTACTTTACCTCACCCCCCCCCCTCCCGTTTACTTTACCTCACCCCTCCCTGCCAGTTTACCACAAACTGCCAGTTTACCACAACCGCCTGTTAGTGCATTTGCTACGTATTAGGTTTCATAAAATGTTACTTTTCACATTAAAGTTTATACATTTTTGTGATCTCTACGTTTTCAATTCATCTCATTTTAACACTTCATTTCGCAGGGTGAGGGAGTATGGTTTGAACGATGTTAGAGGGGGAGATTTTTTAATAGCAGAGTTTGCGGGTTCAATGGCGATTGAACTCCCCTCCAGTTTACCCCCCCCTCCAGTTTACCCCCCCTCCAGTTTACCCCCCCCCCCCTCCAGCTTACCACAACCGCCATTCGCCCCCCCCCCCCACCTAATGGCTGAACATGGGGTGATTGTTTTTTGGTCGAATTTGGTTTAACCCCACCCCCCTTTTTAGTTGGAGGGATGTAAAAAGACTTAAGGGGCTGACGTTGAGACATGGCATTTATTAAAAATCATGGCATACATTTTGCAAGTTTCCTGCAAAATTTATGCAAAAAATAATCGAAATTAGTTCTAAAAATAAAATGGATCATAATCGATTATAATGGATTATAATGGCTTTTTATTTCATTTCATTTCAAAAATAATCAATAATAATGGATTATTTTGGCAATTTTTGCGTTGGAATCAGCTGACTTGAACCTATTTGAACTCTAATTAAAGTAAGCCGAAGAAAACTTCAGGAAAAGAAATTGAGACGGAAATAGCTCCAATTGAAGTGGAAGACACCTCACTCGAGCTTCAATCATAATGTTACTCTTTTAGTTTGAAAACAATCAATTGAAATGCACTGATTTGAGGCTAATTGAAAGGGAAAAACCAATTGCCATAATTACTTCAAAAGCCTTACATTACGTTTTTAACTAAATTTAGCTGAACTATTCTTATTTCATTTTCCCACAATTCGTTGAAATGATGACTAATGAAATGGTGTTTTCAACAGTTAGGAACACCGGGGGAAAAATTCAATCACATCACAGGTTCAATTTCGGCTGAAAAAATGAACTTTGACGGTAATTTGATCTGATTGTT